CTTGTAATATGTTTAGGTTCTCATTGCTTAATATACCAATAGTTGGTATTGATTTGGCTGAGTATTCCCTCTGCTCAAATGCCCTGAGGGGGCTCAGAGGATCATTTGGTGGGGGAGACCCAGGCCTCCCGAAAGTATACAGAGTGACGTCCCTGGTGGCGGGTGCTCGAATGCCCTGAGGGGGCTCAGAGGATCATTTGGTGGGGGAGACCCAGGCCGCCCGAAAGTATACAGAGTGACGCCCCTGGTGGCGGGTGCGTCTGCACGTCCCACCGTCCCTTGAGAGACGTTTTGAGATCGTCTGTTCGGCCGCTGTGACCTGGTATGACTGGGTTTTCCGTGTTGGCAGTGGCATCCGGTCGGCCTTGTTTTCGCCTACGCCGTAGTTGTGCCTGGACATTCCTGCTAATGAATGCCTGACGTGGTGGACTGTTGCTGGCGCACCACGCCAAGGTACTACTCGCGCTGAGATCAGCCTCAAGTGGACCTTTCCGGTCCGTGGTCCGTGGATGGTCTGCAATGTCTGTGATGGCAACTCATCATCTATTGTATATTGCTCGCCCTTGCGGACTGTAGCTTGCAGCGTAGTTTGTACTTGGCCTGCGGTAACAGCGGCCGCAAATGTTGGCGTTTATGAACTGTGATGGCGCTAAGCGGCATGGGCTGTAGGTGACCTGCGTGAGCTGTCACGGCCGCTGGGCACGTGGTGATGGGTTGGTCTCTTCTGCCGGGTGTGGACGGCCTGTGAGCCATAGGTCGCCCGACTGCCGCTACCCTGGGCAGGATGGTTGGACCACCACTCCCAACATTCAGGGACTGGTGGGTGACAGGTCTCATGGGATACCATCGGCTTACCGGGCCTTCTAGCCCACGCGCTTAAAACGCATGCTGCGCCTCCGCGCGGATCCATGGGAGTGGTGCGCGTGATCATCACTGTACAGTTCCCCCGTGTACCTCTTCGATGTCTTGTGATGCCACCGCAAGGCCTGTTTCATTGCGGTTGTTAAGCACTTGGTTACACTCGCATGTGTCGTGGCCAGTTTGTGTACAATAACACCGGTCCACATACCGTCTCTAGCGGGCACACATTGGCAGACTGTTCGGCATCACCAGCGGCCAACTGTGTTCACGTCACGGCTTCACCAGCAGCCGACTATGTTCACGCCATGGTATCACCAGTAGCCAACTTCGTTCACGTGACGGCGTCACCAGCACCCGGCTCTGTTCACGTGACGGCGTCACCAGCAGCCGACCATGTTCACGTGACGGCGTCACCAGCAGCCGACTATGTTCACGTCACGACGTTACCAGCAACCGACTATGTTCACGTCACGGCGTAATCAGCTGGTGGCCCGTTGCCACATCCGGCGCCACGGGGGCTGACCGTGATGACGTTTGATTGAAGGCCACGTCGACTACTTGGGTTATTTCGCCATGAACCCCGGATTGGGAGTAAGGGTTCAGCCTGAGCCCAGGACTGACGGCCAAGGTTTATATGTGGACCGCGGCCTGCAGGTCAGGGTTTAGCAGTGAACCCCGGCGTTCTGACGGTCAAAGTCCAGTTGTGAACCTCGCTGTGACGGTCAAAGTTCAGCTGTGACCCTCAAGTTCTCGGATGAACACTGACCTTCGGTCAGTGTTCATCTGTGAACCTCGCGCTGACGGTCAGAGTTCATCTGTGATCCCCGGGCTGACGGTCAGTGCTGATCTGTGATCCTTGGGCTGACGGTCAGCGCTCATCTGTGATCCCCGGGCTGACGGTCAGTGCTGATCTGTGATCCCTGGGCTGACGGTCAGCGCTCATCTGTGATCCCCGGGCTGACGGTCAGTGCTGATCTGTGATCCCTGGGCTGACGGTCAGCGCTCATCTGTGATCTGTGATCCCTGGGCTGACGGTCAGCGCTCATCTGTGATCCCCGGGCTGACGGTCAGTGCTGATCTGTGATCCCTGGGCTGACGGTCAGCGCTCATCTGTGATCCCCGGGCTGACGGTCGTGTGTGATTGAGGCTTTACGACGCACCCAGCTGCTGAGGCTATATGGCGTCGCCTGCCTCTCACCCTGGCAGGAAGGGCGGGCACCCCGTACCTCTGGTTTTCCAGACGCGCAGTGGTTAACGCGGACGTGTTAACCACTACACTACCGGCACCCCGGGCTAACGGTCAGTGCTCATCTGCGGAGCCCGGGGTAAGGGCCCGAGGCCAGCTGTCGATCATGCCGTCAGTTGTCAATCCATTCATAGGCTGAGCGTTATCCTTCGCCGGTTCCATACTCACACCCTAGCGTGGCAGTTCGACTTAACAGTGTAAAAATAACACGAATGAGCACGTGCAAAGAGCGCTGGATTCGCCTCTTCAGTAATCATATTTGAGTGGGACAGCTTGGTTTTACGTTGTAAACAACACGTGATGAACACGTGCATGCAAAGACGATTGGATTGTTAATGCGGTTGGTGCATTTCTTACCATTACTCCTACCCACCGCGTCACCGAAGGCGTCTTGGTGCGTCAATGGTGGACTGGCGCGCGCGTCCGTTAACTGAGGCGATGTACTGGGGATATCGTTGGACCACGCTGGCGTGGGCCTGCGGAGTTTGGTGCCCCAGAGCAGCGTTGTTTCCCTTCTGGACCCGATCCAACTCTTCGTATCGCTACATAAGCTACTGGCAGAACGTCGGGACAAAGCCTGCAGCAGCTGGTCCGGGTCCGGGATCGCCGTCGGCCGGCCCGTCGCCGCGGTCTACTGCCGACTGACCTGGTCCGTGGTGGCCTCGGGGCCGATCCGCTCGGTCGCAGGACTGGGCCGAACCCGTGCCAGTAGGCCGACGACGAGCAGCGTGCCGACTCGCGACGGCGCCATGTCGCCGCTCACCGCGCCCGACCGCGCCGTCCGGCCGCACCGCGTGCGCCCGACTCCGCGTCTGCCGCTCTGTTTACGGGCGGCGGCCTCTGGGACGCAAGCGGACGGCCGTGTCACCAGGCGGCGGAGAATCCCTGACCGGGCGGTTGGCGGAACGCGGGCCAGGCTGGCGGCCATCCAGCGTCGGGCCTGGAACGGTGCCGCCCAGCGGCTGCACGGGTGGTGGCCGCTAGAGGGCGCTGCTGGTTGGGTGTCGCGCGTCAAACGGCGCCGCTGATTAGGTGTCGCTTTTTAAACGGCGCCGCTGGACAGGTTTCGGTCGTCAAACGGCGCCGCTGGTTAGGTGTCGCTGGTCAAACGGCGCCGCTGGACAGGTTTCGGTTGTCAAGTGGCTCCGCTGGGCGCATTTCAGCTTTCAGAGGACATGTGTCAATTGTCAGGGGGCACCGCTGGGCAAGTGTCAGCCTTCAAAGAGTGCCGCTTGGCAGGTGTCAGCCCCCTGTCATAAAAGGACGCCACCGGGGAGGCGTCAGCCTTCAGAGGGCGCCGCTGGGCAGGTGTCGGTTGTCCGAGGGCACCGCTGGGCAGTGTCAGCCTTCAGAGCGCGCCGTTGGCGGGTGCTGATCGTCAGAGGGTGCCACTGGGCAGGTGGCAGTCGTCAAGGAGTGCCAGTGGCCAGGTGTCGGCCTTTCAGAGGGCGCCACGGAACAGGTATCAGTCATCAAAGGGCGCCGCCACACGGCTGCCAGCCGTCCCAGCTCTCGTCGACCGGGGGTGGGCTGCGGTCAGTGCTCCCAGGCGCGGCCTGCCGACGGCAGCGCGGCGGTAGCCGAGCCCTGCCGGCGGCCATTTGTCTGGTACGTGTCTGTCGTCACTGTCCTCGGCGCGGAAGCCCAGACGACGACTGGCCGGAAGCGACGCCGGCCGCGCCTCCAGCCGGCGCCGACGCCGCGCACCAAGCTACTGCTCACCGCGCGCGTCGAGTCATCGGGCTGCATGACAACATACATGGCTCTGGACATGCCAGGTAGCTTTGGAACTTAGTGGTTCGTTGTCAGATTACTTATTCGTTGATACGAAAAGGGAATTGTGTTCGTAACTATCGTAATTACGTATGTAACTATCCATGCTGTCTGGAAGGTTTATCGATCACATAGTGGGGGGTCGTGATAGTAGGGACTTGGCGCTGGAAGGACACTTTTTGACGTGAAACGTATGTTTAATACGGAGTTGTGCGAATTCTCAAAGGGGTAACGGAATAAATGAAGATGAAGCACTGCTTACGATCGGCTTGGATGCCGTGCTTGGATTGATTCCTTTTCCCAATTCGCCCAACGCAGACAACATCGTCAACTACCATTCCATCCAGGATCCAATCATACAAGAAAGCAGTTCTACACGTGAACACATCGTATACATTTCCTTCTGCACTATTCGCGGTTCACAGCTGTAAGGTCCAGAATAACACGTTCATATTGCGCAAACAAACAAACTACAGCTGTGGCGCATCACACGGAAGTTGATGCGCCATTTCCTCTCCGTGCCCGCCACGGCTGGCTTCAGAACGTAGAGGGTATTTTAACGAGTCCGTATCGTGAGACATAATCGACGCCCGCTGCTCCGGAGGCCGGGCTGGCGACTTCGCCGCGCCCGGCACTGCTGCTGGGCAGCTGGGTTACGCCAGCCAGTTAGGCGCTGGCTGCGTGTGCTCGCTACTCGCCCACAACAGGCGACGCCGCTCGATGGAGCGGTTTCATCGGTTGGCAGCGGGGCGCCGCTTCAGGCAACCACTTGTGTTGGCTAGGTTCTCGAGCGAGTGCTGTTCGATGTATATCTTCCTGCGCCCTCAAAGGTGGCTGGGTTCTGCATTCGTGACTATCGTTTGACAATGTGCGCGAAGTCAGATCGACCAAAAAAAAAACAAAAAAAAACATGTTTCCCCCGGCCAAACATGATCTCGGTGCAGGTGCCTCCTTCCATCAAGATTCACGTGGGGCCTTAAACGCCAGCGAGCGACGATTAGGCTAACACGCCACCATTGCAGCTACGTGGCCTCTGCCTGGAAGCGGCGCGATGCGCTGACAGGTTGCAATTCCTGACGACGGGTGGCACGGTCTAACACCTTCTGTTTCCTGCCGATAGGCGGCGCTGGTGCACGTGCGGGACGAGCTGCAGGAGGCAGAGGCGGCGCGCTGTGTTATGGAGAAGGAGATGAAGGAGCTGCTGCTGCAACTGCATTCTATCCAGCTTCAGCTACACAAACAGACGACCGTCGGCACCGACTCGGACAACATCATCAAAAAATTGGTGAGCACACGGCTGGGTGGCAAGCAGATAAATGCTGACAAGGCCATAAATAGAGCTCCATGCTTGACCGAGTGAGTTGGAAGAAAGGGGAGGCTTGCCCGTCGAGCGTAGAAATATCGAGTTGCTAGCCTGGCCACCTGTCGGGATCGGCATTAGTCAGGGACAGCGCCGCCGGGCCTGTTCACACATCGCACCATCAACCCCATTTGCTAGCAATGGGCGTTTGGAGAGTGCCGTTTGGTACGGCGGTGCGCGCCCCGCCGGAGCCGCCGCGACCACGATTGGACCGTCACCTGCCGCCTGGCAGTGGCGCGGCCCGCCGACTACGCGGCGCCTGCTCGTCGTGGCCCGGTCCATGGTAGCGTGTCGACATCAGGGCCACCTCGATGCTCGGCATGCGACGGAGAGACGGCCAATGGCAGGACATTTAGGGGAAAAGTCGGCAGGGCTCGTGAAGACTCTGACCTGTACCTGTGCCGCCGGGACCTGACGTCACTCCCTGCGACTCTGTCGGCAGGACTCTGATCTGTACCTGCGCCGCCGGGACCTGACACCACTCCCTCCCTGTCGGCAGGACTCTGATCTGTACCTGCGCCGGCGGGACCTGACGCCACTCCCTCCCTGTCGGCAGGACTCTGATCTGTACCTGCGCCGCCGGGACCTGACGCCACTCCCTCCCTGTCGGCTGGACTCTGATCTGTACCTGCGCCGCCGGGACCTGACGCCACTCCCTCCCTGTCGGCAGGACTCTGATCTGTACCTGCGCCGCCGGGACCTGACGCCACTCCCTCCCTGTCGGCAGGACTCTGATCTGTACCTGCGCCGGCGGGACCTGACGCCACTCCCTCCCTGTGGGCAGGACTCTGATCTGTACCTGCGCCGGCGGGACCTGACGCCACTCCCTCCCTGTCGGCAGGACTCTGATCTGTACCTGCGCCGCTGGGACCTGACACCACTCCCTCCCTGTCGGCAGGACTCTGATCTGTACCTGCGCCGGCGGGACCTGACGCCACTCCCTCCCTGTCGGCAGGACTCTGATCTGTACCTGCGCCGCCGGGACCTGACGCCACTCCCTCCCTGTCGGCAGGACTCTGATCTGTACCTGCGCCGGCGGGACCTGGCACCACTCCCTCCCTGTCGGCAGGACTCTGATCTGTACCTGCGCCGGCGGGACCTGACGCCACTCCCTCCCTGTCGGCAGGACTCTGATCTGTACCTGCGCCGGCGGGACCTGATGCGTGAGGAGAAGCTGCTGGCCGAGCTGCGCTGCCTGCGCTCCGAAGCGGACCAGCTGAACGGCTACATCGTCAGCCTGCAGAGCGAGGTGGTTGGCTGCCGTCTAGCCGCCAAGTACATGGACAAGGAGCTGGCGGGCAGGTGAGCGGCCGGACGGCACCCTGGCCCCGGTAGCGCCGCCGGCGACGTGACCGCCGATGGCGCACGTCGGTGTATGGTGATACGGTATGGACGGTAGCTATTAGCCTAAGGCCGAGCGTTATAAAAAATACTGATATGGCTGTCGTGCGTTGTTGGTGTGTTGGTGCAAGTGATATTCGGTCCATCCAGATGTCAGTAATAACTTGCTTTTGATTGGCCTAGCGAGCTAGGTTAAATAAAATTGGTAGCGTTGCTGGAATAGCATGACGAGGATGCTATCGTTACCTTACCTTAACCCTAACCTTAACCTTAACCTTGACCTTAACCTTAAGATGGTCAAGCCACAGTGAGGCTTATGGCCGTCGAGTTCGCGTAAGGCGCGGCGAAAAGACGTGGCGTTTTGCAGACTTTGAGCCGGTCACACGTACGCGACCCACGACTTCTGTGGTGTGGTGGAGACCGGCCATGCTGACCCCGCTGCAGTGCACCACTCACCGTCCCCTATGTTGTGTGCGCATGTCCAGCATTTGTCGAAGAGCGAACTTTTTATTCCGGAATGTCATATATCGGACCCGTTCTGATGTGCTTGACAACAAATCTCACTTGGTAGCTACGGGTCAACTGTTTTCATTTCTAGCTGACATAGGATTTTCAGCCATGTACACGCCGCGTAAGTCATTCCACTGTTATGGTCACAAAATGACCCTCGCAGGCAGCGCGCTTTAAAACCCCAATCATCAGTATCATCATGATGGTTTTGCTTGTTACTGATATCACTTCTCATCATGGCGGTATTGGGGTAGGAGGCGGGGACCGTGGTTTTACTTCAGGCACCAGCAGAAAGATTAACACAATTGCGGTTTGGTTATGGCCGTCATGACAGTCATTATCCGAGCTGGTTTTTGTATGTAGCCTACGTCGCTAACGTTCATCTTCACACTCGATTCTAGTTTGCGGTGACATGCCACGAACATCTGCTGCGAACAACAGCTGAGGTGGCACCCGGTCGGGCCGAAGCGGACGCGGTTAGCATATGCCCGCCGGCGTCAGTTGGACGCGGACCCTTCCCGCATGACATGACCTGGCCAGATCTGACCTGGGGCGACCTGGTATAACTCGGTTCGACTTGGGTCGACCTGGCGCGGTCTGAGCTGCCCTGACCTGCCTTGTGGCCGCCAGAATCCAGCAGATCCAGCTGCTGGGCCGCGGTCTGCACGGGCCGGAGCACGGCCGGCTGTGGGCGCAGCTGGAGGCCGAGATCCAGCTGCACCGGCACAAGACTCTCATCCGCGCCTGTCGCAGCAGGTAACGCCCTCGAGCTCACCCGCCGACCGGCACCCTTGCTGTGGCAGGCATCAAGGGAGCCACAGCTCTTCTCTATCGACGTTGGGCGTTTTCGCTCCTGATGATGACATCTTAGATGCGTTATACTGATACAGACGTTCCGTAACTCGTTGGATGCAGGCAATCAGTCAGGATAGTCAAAACAAGTGTATTGAGCGTCAATGCTGCGATGAGAAATCACTATTGATACCGATACTCGCCCATCATCTCCGGCGCAGCCTTGCTTCTTCTCTTTCACTGTGTCTCTTGACACAATGGAATGCACTTCATTGCTGCTGTAGTCCGCCATCATCGTAAGCATAAAAAACGCCGAAACACGAGAGGCATGAGACCTTCCTTCACCACACCAAACATGACAGCAGCCCCGGTGCCGCCAGGATGTGGCGTGATCCGCCGGGGGAACCGAAGCTGACCGGACCGCGGCTGGTGCACGTCACCAAGGCCGACAAGGAGGGTCTGGGCATGTCCATCACGGTAGGCCAGCCGCCGCTTCGGCCGGGCGCAGAGCGGGGCGGCGGGCGGGCGTCTGTCGCTGGGAGGAGGGACCGCCGCTAGACCCACGCCGGCTCGGACCCCGTGACGGTGGGGGGGGGGGGAGGCGCCTCTGTCGCTGGGAGGAGGGATCGCCGCTAGACCCACGCCGGCTCGGACCCCGTGACGGTGGGGGGGGGGAGGGGGGGGGGGCGCCTCTGTCGCTGGGAGGAAGGAGCGCCGCTAGACCCACGCCGGCTCGGACCCTGTGATGGTGGGGGGGGGGGGGGGGGGGAGTGGGCATGGCTGACTCTCGGTACAAAGGTATAGAGGAGCATGGGCTCTGAAACCTTGACTGACGGTCACCTCTTTGCCCGTACTTCATTTCGAGGAAGAGGAACACGAGTGCTGTGGGAACACGAGGCCTGGACGACCTGGGTGCCTGCATTGGACGGCTTTTTTACACCGCGAAGAGAGGCACAGATTGATTGTGACCTCCCATGATGGCGGCCTCCTTTAACCTGACTTCAGGGTGGAGGTGGGGGGCACGGGTCCCTGTGATCCGCACCGAGCTGTTGCGCCCTTGACCTGATAACAGTGCGGAGGTCACGTCCCCTGAGACCTTGATTAAACTGCTGACCCCCATGACCTGATCGCGGGTCGAGGGGAGCACGAATCCAGGGTAGTCTTGGCCCGACCCAGTTTTTTCCCGTCACCTGGCTAGGGTGAAGAGGTACACAAGTCCTCCATAACACAAGTGAGACGTGCTGACCTGCTGCGACCTCATCTCAGGGTGGAGAGGAGCACGGCGTGCCGATCGTGGTGTCGGCCCTGAAGCCGGGCGGACCCGCCGACCGCTCGGGTCTGGTGCACGTGGGCGATACCATCCTGTCGGTGAACGATATCAGCCTGCAGCAGGTCAGAGCAGCAGGTCTTCCCCCCCCCCCCCCCTTTGGCCGGTCTGCCTTGCTCTTCGCGCGGAACCGCCCACAAAATGAGCCGCTCTGTCGGGACGCTGAATACGGTCGTCTTGTTAAGCCTGGCTGGCTTTGTAGAAGAAATGGAACGGCGTCTCGAGTGTCGCATTGTGGCCCGTTTGTTAATGGTGTACGCTACTTTCCGTTCGCTGGTGCCGAGTGCGGATCATGAGTTCAGTGATTGTTGCCACGACTGGGCGTCAGATCCTCGAATTTTCAACGGCTCGATGATGATCGCATTATATCGAATTGGACGTGTGTGGTGTGTGAGCTGGTTTCCATGTGCCTCGCGTCCCTGTGCAGGTGCGGCACCAGGAGGCAGTGGAGGTGCTGTCATCTGTGACCGGCGACATCAAGCTCGAGTTGCAGTATGTGCCGACGATAGCGGAGGACCTCAGTGAAGGCATATACGACATGGGACACTTCAGGTAACACGATAAACACTGTCATATGGTTCAATGCTATGACTGATGGTGAAGATCCGTCACATATTTGTTGTGTTTTATTTCGGCTACAGGCTTTTGTCAAATGGAAGATATTCGTTTTGATAAAGGCATGTAGCCTAAATATCAACCCATCTGTCTCCCCATTCTTCTGGTTATTCTACGAAGAATGAGGTTTTGGTATGGTTTTTCTGTATGCATAATGTTCCTGGCAAATGCACTTAGCAAGTTACGTAAGTCTGGTGGAATAATTGTTTGGGCTATCATATCATCTGGTGTGTTCGTGCGTGCGCACGCACGCACGCACGCACGCACGCACGCACGCACGCACGCACGCACGCACGCACGACGGTAATCTGAACTTCTGTATCGTGATGCCAATAGCCCGCCTCAGTCGGACCGTGAACTTAAAGCTGACGCTCACTACCAGTCAGATCGGCTGCTTGCGTAGAGCGTCGGGCGTCCTTGCATGCCGCTGGCCGGTGGCTTCGCGCCGAGAGTGCCCCCCCCCCGCACCGCGTGCCGTGTGCGGCGCCAGCGTCATGGCGCCGGCTCGAGGCGCGCGCGTGACCCGGCGGGGCAGCGGGCCGGCGCTGGTGAATGGCCGACAGCTGGCGCGTTGCGTCACGACCGTCAGGCCTCACAGCGCGGCCATTAGGTAACACGGCTGGCCATCGCCCCCCCCCCCCCCCCCTCCTGCACCTGGGCCGGGGGCGGCGGCTCCAGGCCAAGACGCGATTTGCGGAGTGTTGGGCTCAAGCTCAGAGACTATGCATGGACTTCAGGTGCTGCCAGCCTATGGATTATGGCCGGATTTGTCGGCTTAGGCCTCGTTGTCGCTTGAAATGTTTCAGTTTTTGTAGACGAGAGACGCTGAGTGTTAGTCAGCGACAAGAGAGGAAGGGTTGGGACTAAGAGCGAGTTGCAGGTGCTGTGGGTGCGGATAACGCTTTCGTTAAATTTTGTTTTGATGCACACATGTTTAGTTTCGCTGACCGAATTAGCTGTGCAAAATATCCGTTTCTATTTTTAGCGAAATATTTGGGTCCATATGTCATTCTATGGTAAGATCGGGTGTGTAGGTGTTGCTGAGAGTGCACCCAAGAATAGCTTTTGTCAGTTGGCAGGCAAGAAGACTTAATAGCTGCGCTTAGCTGTTATTGACTAATTTAAACCTATGTTTACAATCTCGCCGAAAAATTACTAGGAATACAAATTAACTTTAAATATCAGAGTAAGCATGCATCACGAATCTCTATCATCTCGATATAAAAATGGAGTTAATCCCTCTCCTGCAAAGGGGCTTGCGTCCCCTTAAGCGTCTTCTTGAATGTGTGCGAAACCTGAGGGAAACTTGCGTTTTATTGCTGCCAAGTCTGGAATGTGGGAAGTCTAAGAGAGAAAAAAGGGACTTGAGCCGGGAGTATGGCTGTGGCGCGCGTGGCCTGACGCCTCACGCTGGGCTCAGCTCGCGCCGGCTCCTCTTGACCAGCTCGGCCGCCGAGCGGCGCGTCGCGGCCAGAGGCGCGCGGCGGTATGGGCGGGCGCTAGACTCACCGGCCGACGCCGCGTCGGCCGTGCGGTGCGGTGTGGCGCGGCCGGTCGGCCCAGGGCGCCGCTCTCCCTGCGCCCATCGGAGCCGCCAGCTGGCGCTCGAGCACCTGCCCCCCGCCCCTCCCTCCACCCCCACCCCCGCTCCCGCGTTCCATCTGCGTGAGTGTCGCCCTGAGCCGTGTCGCAGCGCTCGGGTGCGCGCCCCCGCCCCTCCCTCCACCCCCACCCCCGCTCCCGCGTTCCATCTGCGTGAGTGTCGCCCTGAGTCGCGTCGCAGCGCTCGGGTGCGCGCCCCCGCCCCTCCCTCCACCCCTACCCCGCTCCCGCGTTCCATCTGCGTGAGTGTCGCCCTGAGTCGCGTCGCAGCGCTCGGGTGCGCGCCATGCGCTGTGCCTGCCAGCGCGCACAGCTCCGCCTCGTCCGGTCTCGGGAGCAGCAGTCGCGCGCCGCAGCTGGACGGGAGGAATAGGACCGTGGCGCGGAGTTTGGGTCTCATTTGCGATGCTGTCACCTGAGCAGAGGTTAATTTTGGACGCGCTGTCCTTGCCAGGCACCCTTGGAAATGTTTGCCCATTGGAGCTAGAGTCAAGTTAGTGACGTTCAGGAGATTCTAATCCTGCCCCATCGATAACAAACAATCTTGTGTACATTTGCAACTCGATCTTCAAACTTTCAAGCTAACGGATGTCTCTCGCTTCCAGGCGCCCACAGGCATTCCGCAGTTTCATTTCGATCCGCTGGTCGGTAATGCAATGTCAAAAATAACGTCGGATTTACGTGATGGTACAAATTGTCAATTTCCCGACCCGTCTCGTATTGTGTTCGGTGTGGGTGCCGCTTTTTGTTGCATTTTGTAGAGTTGTTGATGTGATATAGCAGCTTCTCGTGTGTTTGCATGTTTGGATGTTCATTGTCCGAAAATCTGGCTAACAAAACACATCACACCTTATCACGTCACCACATGAGCGTGACAAAAGGAGAAACGCGTTGAAATTATTTACAGTTTACATACTTTTGAAGACATTGTTTTCATAAAGATGACTTGACGTCGACAGCTTCAGATAAAGTGTAGCTGCCGTCTGTGCGTTGAGCGCGGGGCTCGCCACAATCCCTTGCGGTAATATACGTGGAAAAACCGCGCGTGACAAAATAAATTTCAGCCTCTTTGTCGTATTGTGGAAAGCGTTTTTTTCGTTGCTTCTGGCAGCGCGATATTGTGAAGTAAAAACAAGAATTGCAAATGTCAGCAGTTAGCTTTGTAAAAACTGGACTGGAAGACATCTGCGTTATCCCTGAACATATGTTTCACGGTAGCCTCGGTGGAAACATTGAATCTGACCTGGCAACCTGGGGTATGGCTGCTCACGAGAACACCTACAGAGACGGATCTAAAGCGGATGCCTGGGGTATGGCTGTTCACGAGAACACCTACAGAGACGGATCTAAAGCGGATGCCTGGGGTATGGCTGCTCACGAGAACACCTGCAGAGGCGGATCTAAAGCGGATGCCTGGGGCATGGCCGCTCACGAGAAGACCCACAGAGACGGACCTAAAGCGGATCCCCGTTTTGGGTGTGCTTCTGTGCAGAGTCCTGTCACACGGTCTTATGCTTTTCGTGGCTGTGCAGCGGTTTGAACATCCGAACTAGTACCCATTCTTGAAGCGCTCCACTTTGTAGACATTGGCAGCGACAATCAACACTTAATTTTATCCGACTGTCTTACGGACTCTTATGACTTTTGGCTATCGGTTGTAGTATTTAAATACCTAATGTCTTTATTTGCGTTTGCATTTAATGCATTCACTGCCTTAACACAGACTTATCGGAGTCTAATGCCGTATGGCATTGCAGGATTTGGATTAGTCACATCGCATTCTCAGGGCATTTTAACTCTCCTCACTACACTGTCCCGAGCCGGGAAGCTGATGGCATTCTACGAGATACCGAGCCACGTTGGCACATGGGCTAATGAAGTAGCTGGTGCCGTGGCAAGACTTTCCACACACGCAACTGGCATCCTCGTTGTGAGATTCCCTGCTGACGTCCCTGCTAATCCCTATGAGAGTCCCTGCTGACGGCCTGCATGCAGTAATAACTGCATCCGTGTGCGCGAGCGGTGACAAGCGGATTGGAGTGTACATACCGCCAACAAACTGAGAGGGACGTAGGCTGGTTGGGACCATGGGCGTCCAGCTGTCGTAAGATGAGGCGGGATGAAGTGATGCCATCCGGCCTGAGAGAAGGACATACAGATGCGACTCACAGATGCCTATTATGTGGGGAAGACCGACCGCGATGTGCTCGCCGTCGGAGCGTTACACCGCGGGATATGTCTTAATTACACGGTGTATCACGGACATTCTGCACGGTATGCCTTGATTGTCACCGCCATTGGGGCTTTACGACGCACTCAGCTGCTCAGGCTGTATGATGTCGCCTGCCTCTCGCCCTGGCAGGAAGGGTGGGCACCGCAGGGAATCGAACTCTGTACCTCTGGTTTCCCGGACGCGCAGTGGTTAACAACAAGGGTTCCTGCGCCGGACGCGCTCCGGCATTTCGGGAGGTGCCGCGAGTTTGGCGAAGGACGTCCACATTTCCAGTGTTCTCGAGGGCGTATAATTTTGTGGCATATATATGACGTAACCTTGTCTCCTCACTGTTTTCACTCATTTGTTAAATTGAAGTTTAGTTACGGGTGCCATATGACCAGGCAGTCGGCGCCCGCTCAAGCCCAAATGATCATCACCATCGGGTGTGGATGCTGTCGTACCACTAGAGTGCATTGTCGGACGATAATTTACCTGTTACATCCATATCGGAGACGTTCCGTCAGGACGTTTGCCCAAAGCTGGCATTGTGCAATGACGTGTACGATGCGGACAGATCAGTTCTGCCGATAATTCACTTGTTTCCGCATGTGGTAGACATGTCCTAGTCTTGGATGACCTACCTCCTTACTGCAGTTCCTGACGTCAGCATTGTTATCGATCCAGTCCAGATTTGAGTTCGGCTAGCGGTCTCTCCAGATCAGAGTACCCATCGAGGATGTGATGTTCCCAGCTGATCGATCCGCTCTGTCTCTGTCGGTCTCTGTCTCCGTCTCTGTCTCTGTCTCTGTCTCTGTCTCTGTCTCTCGCGCACATTACACACGTTATTTTTCCATCATCCCATTAGCACACATTGCACCAAAGTGGAGGACTTATTTGGGGGAAGTTTTGTATGAACGTATGTAGTGGCGTGCGAATCAGAATTAGATCGGAATTCGTACCTCAAGCTTTTAGTTTTTTTTAGAGACGTGGATGATATTTTTGGAGTATGGCCGCATGGTCAAGAGGCATTAAAACAACACCATACCGTTGCAAACAGCATATGCCCGAAGTTCAAGTTGACCTTTGTTGTTCCGAAACTGACAGAGTTCTTAGGCGTGATTGTAATACGAAAATGCGACTACATCCAAGCTGGTTTGTTCTCAAAACCATCCGACAGCAACAGCACGAGTGTAGTTTCGCATAAAGAAGCCGGTGTGTCTGAACGGTAACAAATGACAAGCCCACTCGAAATGCGCCAACAAACGGGTTTCCCCCCGAACCGGGCCCACTTTCTTCTCGAAAGTTGGGTTGGAGAGGGGGATTGGAGCCTCCCAACTAAAATGCGGCCTATAAACTACTGCTGTAAAGTGTATCTTAATTTGGGGTCAGGGATTGCACATGTAAGGTAGTGCCGACATAGTGTAAGATAGTGCCGACATGGTGTAAGGTAGTGCCGACATAGTGTAAGGTAGTGCCGACATAGTGTAAGATAGTGCCGACATAGTGTAAGGTAGTGCCGACATAGTATAAGGTAGCGCCGACATGGTGTGAGATAGTGCCGACATAGTGTAAGATAGTGTCGACATAGTGTAAGATGGTGCCGACATAGTGTAAGATGGTGCCGACATAGTGTAAGATAGTGCCGACATAGTGTAAGATAGTGCCGACATAGTGTAAGATAGTGCCGACATAGTGTAAGATAGTGCCGACATAGTGTAAGGTAGTGCCGACATAGTGTAAGGTAGTGCTGACATTGTGTTCCGACGTACCCTACACACGGTGCGGCCGTAGCGACCGTCTGAGGCTGTGCCGCTGCGGCACCACCGGCGAGCACTGACCTATGCCCGCCGCCGGTCAGGTACGACATGCTGGAGGACTCGCCGCTGTCGCCGGTGCCGGTCCGAGAGAACGGCGCGGCCCGACCTGCGCTGCCGACGCGGACGGCCGCCAGCCGGCCGGGCGCCGCTCAGAAACAGGGACCGCTCCCGGTGAGTCCTGACCGCCGGCCGGGCGCCACCACCTTCCGGCCTCCCTCGGTGAGTCCTGGCCGCCGGCCGGGCGCCACCACCGTCCGGCCTCCCTCGGTGAGTCCTGACCGCCGGCCGGGCGCCACCACCGGCCGACCTCCCTCGTGCCGTCCGGATCTAGTCGGACGGGCCTGCGAACGCGAGCGAGTTTGGCAGGGCAGCAGCGGCGGCTGTGTAAACCGTGAAGTGGCTGAGTGTTGCTGATCTCTGAAGTCTGAGGAGTCGGCCAGACCGCTAGGCTGGGTGTGGTCCTGCGGGCTCGGGGCGTCCTCGCAGTCTGTTTCGGGTCTGAGGTCCGGCACTGTTTCAGAACCCAGTGGATGTGTGCACGTCAGGGGGACGGGGGAGGAGGGGGGGGGGGGGGGGGGTAGTGACAGGTGGGCTAGGCCCTCAAGTGGGGGAAATGGTTGTGTTATCATGTAAACAAACAACTTCGAAAATTATGCATATTTCCATTATTCACTACAGCTGGTCGCTATGTAGCCGGCTCTTAATTATGAAGGCGATTTCGATTTGGGGGAGATGACACGTGCCGCGGACCTATTCCTGGTACGGTCTATCAGGCGGTGCCCAGGTCGTGGCAGCAAAGCCGGCCCCGGTCTGAGTCATCGGGCTGGCGCGTCAGTCTTCGCTCAGCCGGGATGCACCACATCCCGTTGGTCGCCCCAGCGCGACACGCGCAGCGTGCCGGCGCTGTCGCTCAGCCGGCCACACGTCCAGACGGACAGCCGGCCGCTGCTGGTCGCCCCAGCGCGACACGCGCAGCGCGCCGGCGCTGTCGCTCAGCCGGCCACACGTCCAGACGGACAGCCGGCCGCTGCTGGTCGCCGCAAACAAAGCTACTCCCGCGCATGGCGCTAGGTTTGCTGCCAATGCCCGGGGTGCGCAGCGGCGATCTGGATGGGCGCGGCGTGTTATGCATCGTTGCGTGATAGTAAATTTCTCTCAGGACCGACGCTGGGTTCTCCGACCTAGACCCGTATTCCTTCCTTGCGTGGGCTCACACTCCGCGAGTGGGATGGTTGCGAGCTTGAGTCATCGCGAACATCGGCCGGCGTCCGAGCCCTGAATGCCCTGTGGTCCAACCGAAGCCGTTCTGTGTCTGCGGGTGGCCTAGAACGTTGCTCGGCCGGCGGTTCGTCCCCAGTCCTCGGCACTGCCCCCCGGCACGACGGGCGGCAGATCCCACATCATCCCCGGTCTAACTCGAAACAGTGTGGCCAGGCTGTGCCGTCAGGGGCTCCGTGGCCGACCCTCCGTGGCCGCCGGCTGTGTGTGCTGTGCTGTGTTGTGCAGCGCCGGTGCTGTGCCCTGTCGTGTCGTGCGTCGTCGTGCGCCGCGAATGGAGCGGCTCGGCGACCGGGCGCCGGCCCGACCGCCATGCGCGTGTCTGACTTACGCTGACGCCGCGCCCGACTGACGCTGACGCCGCGCCCGCAGACGGCATCGCCAGCCCTGGAGACGGCCGGAGCCGGCTCCCGGCCGGTCCCGCCGCAGCGGCAGCTCAACGGAAGTAGAGACGTGTAGTCTCGCTCGGGAGACCCGCGCGGGAGAGCGCGGCCGACGCTGGGCTCCGCGGGCAGCGCCTCCATTGCCTGTCATCCCCGGCGCCCACCGTGACGGTGGCAGTCTCCGCGGTGTCGAAAACGGGACGCTTGCCTGCAGGGATCGCAGTCGGCATGGGTAAACTCACGCCTTGCAGTTGGGCCATGTGAACTTGAGGGAGAGGAAGTGAAAGGCGTGGACCGGAAAGACCAAAGCAGCGGCGTGGCTCTCCAAATAGCTGAGCGTTGAGATGTTCGGGCATTTTATGTTAGTCCTGTTTCAGGGGTGATCTGGTAAAGTAAAGCCACGTGGGGCACGTCTCGCGGCGGCTGATTGACGGTTGTAGCCTTGCGCTGGCTCTGGCTCGTGCCAATCTCGCGAGCGAACCTTCCAGTATGTGTATTGTGTATGTGGGCGTGGGTGTGTGCCACTGGAGATAATATTGCTCGAGGCAATTTGTTTTGGGCGTTGACGTACATTGTAGGAGAGATGTTCCGTGTTTACAATATAACCAGGCGAAACAACTGGGCCTGACCGAGCCCAGGAGGCACTTGTTGCGTGTGTTGTCTGGTGATGGATCGTAAGTTTCGTGTGTTTGTGTCTCATGGTATATTATTTAACACTGCTTATTGAGCGGGGATGGTGTTGGGTCGGGTTTTGGGAAGGGTGGAGCGGGAAAGCTGGTAATTCTTACTGCAGGTCGTCTTCTCTAACTGCGTATCCACGTGACCAAGTGTGTCTGGCCAGCGTCAGTGTCGGTCAGTCGCTGCGGCGCGGGATTGAATCTCTGTCGTCCACGCCGACTTTGCCCATCGCAGTCGACTTTGCTTTCGCGCGAGCGCGGTGCCGTCGGCGGCGTCCCGTATCTTTCCGCTAGCGACTGTGCCGGCTTGTCCCGGCACTCTCTCGGGGAGGGGGCGGGGGGGGAGGGCAGCGCTCTCCCGATCTGTTACAGCTGTTTGTACTGCTGAATGTTTATACGGCCGTTGAATAATATGCGCTTGGCGCCGGAGAGCGGTGTGTGGCGGCCCGGATGGCAGCAGGAATGTGTGCAAACAGCGTGCTGACCTTCCCGCGTGACTCTCACTCCAAGCCAAACAGAGCGGGCGATGCGTCAGCGCCCGCTGCCGGCCGGCCGCCCATTCAGCTGCTCATGCCAGGCAAGGCTTTGAGTCAGACAGACACGACGGCCGGCCGCCCGGGCTGGCGGGGAGGCGCGGCGATGGCGGGGGCGACCCACGTGTCGACGCAGGTGACGGGGACGGCACTTCCCGGCGGAGAAGCGTCTCCCGCAAGTGTCAGGCACGTGCCGACGCTGGTGAGGGGACGGCACTTCCCGGCGGAGAAGCGTTTCCCCGCAAGTGTCAGGTGACTGAGCTTGTCCCCACACATGTCAGGTGACTGGGTAGCAATGTTACGACCGTGCTGGCGATTGATCTCGTTTTAAATTGAGTGATTTATTTATCTGATTATTTGATAGCATGGTTGATCGATTGAAATGTAGGGAATGTCGCGCTAGTGTGTGCGCTGGCTTCCGCTGTACGTCCAGCACTGCTGCCACTGAAGGGATCCCACTGGAACGTGATACAAAGTCTGACCGGCCCGCCTTACTGTGCCGGCTCAATGTGTTCTATTCAGTGCTGAGCAAATGCAGGCGTTGGCAGAGGGACTGGGCCCGTTGAGTGAACGTGCTGGGGCGATGGTGCACCGCTGTGCGCTGCCAGTCTGGGAACAAACGTGTGGAGCCTTCGACAAAGCTCTCGCCTCGCATCGTATCTTCGGGTTCGTTATCCCTTCTAGTCTCCGAAACGCGCAACAGCTGGTCGGTGTCCAACCGGAGGCCACGCGCGTGGCCGGGGGGTCACGACGCGCGACCTCGTCAGAGCCGAGCCCGGGGCTCGTGACGGACTGCACGCACCTGCCCGCTCCAGCCGCGCGCTTGTCTGTGGTCAGGGTCGGCGGCTGCGCGTGTTATTGTTGAGCGCGGTCAGTTTGGCGCCGGTGCGTGCATGGCCTGCGGTTCTTCACCCCCGCCGCTGGCAGCCAGGCGCGCCCGCCGCGCTGCACCCCGCCCGCACGCACGCCTGGTGGCGGCCGCTCCACCTCTGCGACGGGAATAGCGTCTCATTGCGTTTGGCCGCGTCGCAAGAATGCTGGGGAGGGTCGACGTGGTTCATGACCTTGCCGTGTCAGCGGCCCGCCCGCAGGCCAGCTATTGGCTGGGTTGGCGACAGGCGCAAAAAGTTGCGCATTTGGGTCAAGTTCATCGCCGTCTGGGCCGCGTGATCCCGAAAATACACCGTTTGACTTCGTAGTAAGAAACTATCCCGTGACTACAGTTGTTAATGGGAACTTTGTCAGCAGGATTGTGGCCGCAGTTGATGGTACCGACCACCATGTGAACTATTGATAGTGTTGCAGTTGCCGACATGGCTGTTCTGTGTTTAGCGTACGCACGGAACATTTACAGATCGCACGGTTGTCACTGTTGTGGCCGGCTGGTGACGACGGTCGGGTCTTGGCACACGTTGGCCGCAGCTTCGGCACCGATATGAGTCATACGTTACCCCTGGGTGACCTTCTGTTCGTGCCCAGTGGTGCCCGAGCATCAGACCACCACCGCTTGCCGGCTCATCTGTGAAGAGAAGAACTGTAGGACCGTTTGTCTCACTTTTTATCTGGCAACTTTTTGCACACTTGTCATGGTGCTTAGCCGTTTTCTGTTCCCTTGCCAGAATGGAAGATTTGTGTTTCGAGGAAAATCAGTATCTCCACAACTTGTACGTCAAGGCGATCATGAGGCGAAAGAGGGCTTTCAGTGTAACTTGCCGTCAGTTTGTGCGTGTTGTGAGTTTAATCTGTGTCCAGTTGTGTCCCTTAACAGGGTAAGTTTGGCGGACATGCCTAGTTCTGCTGTCATATTTTATTCAGAACGTTATATGCTATTCACTTTTAATCGATATTTTCAATAGCAAAAAATGAGAACGATACGGCTGGCGGACTTTTATTGAGTTTAGGC